TTCTCGGTCCCCCGCCCTCGCGGAGCCATGTCCTGCTACGACCTGTGCCTGCCCTCCTCCTGCCCCCGGCCCCTGGCCACCAGCTGCAGCCAGCCCTGCTTCCGTCGCTGCGGGGACTCCACGGCCATCATCCAACCCCCCACCGTGGTGCTCACCCTGCCCGGGCCCATCCTCAGCTCCTACCCCCAAAACACGACGGTGGGCTCCACGGCCTCGGCGGCGGTGGGGAGCTACCTGAGGTGCTGCGGGGTGCCCATCGCTTCCAACGGAGCCCGGGGGCTGGCCAAGGCTGGACTCTTGTGCCTGGGCAACGGGCTGTAGGGGTGTCCCCCAAGGTCACCCCCCCCTTCCCGACGACGCCGGCGGAGCGCCCGCGGCCGGGAGGACGAGCGAAGCGCGGGAGTGGGGAAGAGGACTAAGGAGATGCCCATGGGTTTCCCAACCCCTAGGGTCACCCACGGCCCCCCCCGGAGAGGAGGGGAGCTGGGTGAGCTTGTCACTCCAGACCTTGTCTCTGCAGACCTTCCTTTTGCTGAGCCTTGCTTTGTGTTTCCATGCAGATGTCACACCCCCCCGGCGGTTGCCCAAAATGCTTCTAGCAGGCTGTAGGTGGAGGATGATAGTCACGAGGTGGTGGGGCAGAGGAAGACCTTGTAGGGGTCAACTTGTCCCAGGGTGGGGTTTATCCATTTCTTTATCGAGCTCTGGAAATGCACTTCTCATACTCTGAACTGGTTTCTTCTCCTTCTCCTTCTCATTAAAGTCATGCTACATCATCGCCCGAGTCTTCTGGTGTTCCTTGTGCCTCTCCTCTGGAGGGGGTGACGTCCAACTCGTTGTCTGAAAAGGGATTTTCTGCTGCTCAGCTCCACAACGGGCTGACCTAAAGTGTGTGGTTTGCTGTGACTAGCCCAAAGGCAACTTTCTCAGCCTGGAAAGCTCTCCTGCTGCCCCACAGCAAGCACCTGCTCAGGGAGGACTTCCCACAGGAGCAGGCTTGTTGCCTGTCCCCTCCAGGAGGTGGGAACACAAAGGTTTGGGATTTTCAAAGGATATCATCAGACAATGACATTTCCCTCCATGTTTACCCTGCATTTTGCAGGAATTTTGTGGGGTCAGGGAAAAACACACAAGGAGGCTTCCTGGGGAATGCTCCTTTGGCCAGTCATCCTACACCAAACTCACCCAACATTTCCTGGGGGATGATAAAGAGTAAAAAATTCCTGAGATACACCAAGGCAAAACTGGACCTTCAAGCTTTAGGTTCTTCATTCTCACTCCCTACAACAGCATGTGGCCAAAGGGGCCTTGCACAAGCTGGCTCCAGCCTGGAGAGCTGAGTGAGGGGCGTGTGGCTCATCCACATCTGGTTGTCCCCTTAATGCAGCAGCAGGAGGGTTGTGTGCTGTGCTGCTCCATGCACACACAGACACCCCTCTGGGCAGGAGCTCTGTGGGTTACAGGAGCTGGGCACACCCCTGTCCCCGTGCTAGCTCAGCCTGGTGGCTCAAAGGGAAGGACATCCCACCCTGGATGCCTTTCGTCCTGTCCCGTGGCACCCCCAGCCCTGCCAGAGCAAGAGGGGTGCCTGTGATGTGAGAGGTGATGCCAGGCTACCCAGGTTTCCTCTGGGTGCAGAGCCCAAATTTCCTGAGAGCTGCCTTGGAACATGATCAGAGGTGTCTTGGGGAGAGGCAGCTTCATATTTTCAGGCACACTGAGTGTCATGGATGCTCAGACCTGTGGTGGAGCCACCAAGAAAGATATCCAAGCATAATAAGAGTAATGGCATGAAAAAGAAACTAGATTTTCTCTGTGTGCTGCAGATCCAGAGGCAAGAGCAGCAGCTGGACTGGTGCTCAGCAGGGAGCTTTTGCCAGGAGTATAGAGGACATGGAAAAACCCCATCCCTGACCACAGCACGGTGAGCTCCACGCTGAGCTCTTCCCACAACTCAAGATTTCAGTGGAACATGTCAGAGATTTGGAGAAGAATCGTTTTATGGGGAGGGGGATGAAGGTTTCTCTGGGAAAAGATGTCAGGCATTGAGTAAAGCCTCATTTTAAGACACCCTGTGTCACCAAGCAGAACCTCTTCAGCTGGTGCAAGAAGAACTAAGAGTCCTCCATGGGTATTGAGTCTTCTTTCCTATCTTAAGTGTTTTGGCAGTATGGCAATTTGCATAAGGTTTAGGAGTGTTTATAATGAGGGATTCTAATGAGCTTGAGAGCACGTTGGTTTGCCAAAGCCTTTGACCAAGCTCAACTGGTTTTATTGCCCAGGAGATCTTCACTGAGGTGCTTCTAATTTTGGAGAAAGGTTATGTGGCAATTAAGCAGTCAGAGCAGGAGATGATGGGTGTGGTTCCACATCCCTCTTCTTCACTGCTCGGGTGTTTTTCTGGGTGTCCAGGAATTCTTTGCAGCGATGGGATGCAAAATTCTCCTCAACATGGCAATGAGGAAGAGGGATGGATTTCCAGCAAAAGCTTCTTTAGAAGCACTTGGGGCTTGTGCAGCTGTTTCCCACCAGTCTGCTGCATAAAACAGTCCAGAATGGAGCAGGGGGAAGGAATAATAAAGAAAAAATAACACATTTTTTATGTGGCTTTTCACTGAATAACTCCACCAGTGAGGTTATACAGGCTTCTTTTTTTTCCCCTGAAGATCTGCTGTCTCCAAGGACACTAAAATCCACACAGGTCCTTGATTTGACTTGAAAATTGTGGTGCCTTAGTGCAGACAGAGTCAGGGAGGTGAGGACCTGGGTGCCCTGCAGGGCTCCCTTTCCTAAGGGACTCATGTCTCCCATGGGTGCTGTGACTCCCAGCTGGGAGCTGTGCTGTCCTGGCTCCCAGCTCAAGAGCTGTCCTGAATTCACTCCACCACATACCCCCCTCAGCCAACTCTTGCCCAGGGCAGGACCCTACCAACCTGCTGATCAGGCCCTAAAAATACAGGTTCCTTGCAAAGACAGGGCAGCCAAAGGCCCTGGTGAGGAACAGGGAGCTACATACCAAGGCTGAGATGAAAAATAATGCTTAGTGGGTGGAAGGAGGCACACGGAGGGAAATAACTGGGTCCTGGGGTTTGGTCCCAGCATTGCCTCCTCATGGCTTTCAACAGCAGCAGAAACATTGCCCAGAAAAGCCTGGAGCACAGCCCAGGTGAACCCTTCATCCATGGTTGCATCTGTTGAGTCTTGAGTCTTCTGCCCAGCTCCTATCTTCCCCTCACCTGCTCCTGTGCTTGGAGGAAACCTCCCTGCTGGCACTCAGCACCCTCCCCTGGCAGCAGACGTGGCTTCCTGGAGACCCCAAATTCCCTCAGTTTTCTTTCCTCTGTCCTTTGCTTGGGTAAAACTCCAGAGCACTGATTCCAGTGAGGTGCACCAGCTCAATGGGAAGGTGTTGGGGTAGCTCCTCATTGAGGGGTCACAGCCTTGGGGGTGTCAATCTCCTCTTTGGGGTGCATGCAACACGTGGGGACCTCCCACACGTGGCACAGGAGCTCGGGTGCCTTTGTGTCCTTGGAGAAGCCAACGGTGGCAGAGGGTGAGCATCTCCCTAGGGGGTGGGCACTTTGCCCCCCTCCTGAGGATGCAGGGGGCAGGGAGGAGGGGTGAAGTCGTGGTTTGAGTGGGAACAAGTGGAGAAACACAGAAGGTTGTGGTGGGTGTGAGTAAGAAGTGAGTGGGACCACCAGAGTGGAAGCTCCAGGGGGCATGGGGCTGGTGATAGGGGCGTGGGGCTGGATGCCTGCTGGCTCTACACAATCCCTGCTCATCTATCTGTGTCTTCTCTGCACATCCAGATGAAAATCCTGGTGACAGGCACCCCCTGTGCCTTGGCTGGGTTGCAAAAGGTGGATCCCACCCCAGCACTCGGGTGCCAGGCTGGGGGCAATGCCAGGAGGGTGTGCCAGCCTCAGCAGGTCCCTCATCCTCCTCGCTGAGGCAGGAACTGGCCAGAGCACTTCGGGACACACGTCCTGGAGCCAGACAGGTGGAGAAAGAGAGGGAGAGAGCCCCTGGAGCTGTGGGAATGGCGAGACTCTGATGGGGCTTGTTTGCCAAAGGCAAATCTCCTTCCTCGCCCACTGGAGCCTCGCCCTTCCCCACCAAGGCAGAGAGGGCACCAGCTCCTGGGCTTTAGGGAGGTGAGAGAAAAGAGTTGTGTGGCCTGGATAAGAGTGGGGAGAAGGCAGCACTGAGAGGACACCCCACCCTGGGCCCCCACGGGCTGATTGCAAGGCAGGGGCTCAGCACCCCCCTGTTTTTGGGGTCCTTGCCAGCGCCCCGCGCCAGCCTGGGGAGCCAGACAAGCCGTGGCTCCAGCCAAGGCTCCCGTCCTTCCCCAGGGCTGGAAATCCAATAAAGCAGGAAAATAACAGGCCACCCACACGTGTGAGTCACGGGAGGAGAGCCGGGCAAATCAAAAGGCTCTGGCATCCCGGGCTGGCCCTCCTGGTGCTGCCCCTGGGGCAAGCCCGTGGTCCTGGGGGCTCGCCCAGAGCATCCCCAGCACCCCGGCTCTCTGCACCCCCTTCTCCTCTGAGCTTCTCCCTCAGGGGGGCACAGCCCCTGGGGAGAGATGGGCACGAGCACGACGACAGCAGAGCCCAAATCCCAACGGTTTGCAGGCTCCTGCCAGCGGGGTGCCTGTGGATTTGTGTTCCAAGCTCCGTGAGTGTTCAAATTAAACAGTCAAAGGCTGTTAATTGGCCTTTGCTGAGGATTAGGTGCCTGCATGATTCCTGCAGAGGAGGAGGAGGGTGGTGTGGTTACAGCTGCGTGGGGTGGAGGTGTGGGTGCTGGGTGCAGGAGGCTGAAGGAGCTGAGCAGTGGGGGTTACATGACCTGGAAGAAATGGGGGTGCAGGTCCCCCCCCTGCCTGCTGCTTTCCAATGATATAATCAGCATCAGAGCCTTGCTGTGGGTG